ACCGCCAGCAAACGAGGTGAACGTTTGGCCTTCAAAAAGTTTAAAACGCAAAAAACAAAAGATACAGCTTGAAGCAGCTCGCAGAAAACCGACAAACATATTTATATGTTCATATGTACACACATACATACATACATACTTGTGTATGTTTACCAATAAAAATGTTAAGTAAATTACGCATGATTTTTTGGATAGCTCCGAGCAAGAGAAACAACTTATAATTATTTTTCGCTTTAAATAAATGAAGGTCATCCAACCGATTCCCCATCTCAAACTCAAACTCAAACTCATCCCAACGAACAACAGCAACAGCAACCAACAGCAAAGTTTTCGCCGCCTTTTTTGCTGTCTACATTTTTAGTGCACACAACAGAGTTGAGTCAGCATTAACATTGGCAGTCGGTTTACATCGACTTGGTCTCCACATACGATAATACCCGAGTTATTAACCTAACATAGCTCCAAAGTTGAGGAAGTACAAGTATAATGGTTACATTATCGGTCCCTCTGTTCCGGTTATGAACGCTCTTTGGTCCCTTACTCTCCACCATTAATCAGCACTTCCAGTGTGTGTGACTTAAGAGTAATTTTAAAGATCGCAAACACATACAATCACACGAGTGTGCAGTAGTGTGGGCACTACTCGCTGCGAAAAGCTGGCGAATCAATTTGAAAAGAAAACGAACGTTAATACCGAAGCGAATTTGCCGACGAGCACAAAGCAAGCGAAACAAAAGAGAGGGGCAACCTCTTTTTTGGCGAGTGCGCAACAGACTGTGCCCTGTTAAAGAGTGGCAGGGGAATGCAGGTGCCAAAATACTAGGAAAAGTCTTTGTAGACTTCGGCGAATTCACAGTGAAACGAACGTTACACATTTGAAAACAAACGATAAAAAGCTTGCCAGTTTATTGGTAAATGTGCTTGTATGTGTGTTACCGGCCGGCATGCAAATTGGATTTCGCTAATTTGTATTTATCGCTGATGCTTTGTTGACTTTTGGTGAGCAAATATACATGCACACATGTGCGCTTCAATGTTCATGCGATTGTGCGGGAGTTAATTATGTATGTATGTATGAAAATACTTACTGCATATTTACTGAAGAAACCCTCGTGAATACTGCTTGAATAATCCTCTAATTCGAACATGTTGTATCCGTTTTACTTGCAAATTTACTGTTGCATATGCGCTTTGTTTTGATCAATTTGCGATTCTCCCCTTTCTTAATCTCCTTGGCTCTAAAACCGTTACACGACTGGTATAAGAGAACTACCGTTTTTTTGTATTTAACAATTTGTTTCACACTTGCACATTAATTTTTGAAATATTGAAATATTTGTAAATATCAATTTTCATGTTGGTATTATTTGATTTTTGCACCGGTACATTTTGTAATTATTTTAAAAAAGCTTCTCTTTTTTAGCAAAAACAATATAACCACTAACAAAAATTTTTTACCGCCGCACGTCCGCTCTGTTCGGCCTTGTTGTTGCCTTTGAGATATTCTGCTTGGAAGAACGTATCGATATAATTATTGAAGAGGTGAGTAAACGATTTTCTCTCGATATATTCACCTCAGTGTTAATGAAAATATCAGTATTGTTAATGGCCGTTTGGGATTCAAATGTCTTTGTTCTTGAGAACATTATTTATATATTATTATTTTTCAAAATCAATTACTTAACTTAGCTATTACATATAAAAATATTAAACACACAAATATTGAGCGAGCTGTAAATTTTCCAAGATGAGTTAAATATTTGTCATCGCTTCCTTTTTGTTTATTAACTGAATCACTAACCAAAGAACAAATAGACCGGACACGTGTGTTCTGTGTGTTAGTGTCTGAATTTAAGATTTTAAATCGATATATAATTGTCAAATGAGTGAAATTATGGAAATACAAGATAAAATGTGGCGGACTATCGATATTATATTGTAGTCCGATCAAACGTGCAATCTATCGAAAAAAATTTAGCTCGCGTAATTAATTCACCACACACAAATTGTATAATGTGAATATCCGTTTAATTTAAAATTCGGACGCTTGGAAAATTCTGCACACAACAAAATCTCACAAACGTATATCAAATTTAGCAAAGCAAAGCATATAAAAATTCATGCTGTCTTTTTCTGAACTATACACAAATTACATTAAATTGAATACCATATAATCCAGCCGGAAAATTTTATTATTTATATATATCAGACGCTCGTGGGTAAGCTATCGAGTTGTCGATATCAAATCGACTCATTAGGCACTGTATATATACAGAGCTTCACATAATGTGAATTTATTTTGCTTTATAAAAC